TTAAAGAGGAAGTTGACCTCTGCCCCATTCTTGTCCCCCTATAATTGCATGGTTCTCCACATAGCAGCCAGAGGGATCTTTTTTCTCAGCTGACTCAGATCATGCCACTCCTCTGCCTTACAACTCTCAGTGACTTCTCTTTAAACTGAGAGTAAAATTCTTGTCCCTCGTGGTCTCCAAGGCCCCACATAAACTGGCTCCAGCCTTCCTCCCTGACCTCGCTTTCTGCCTGCCTTCCTTCACTGCTTTCCTCCTTTCTGTCCATTGAGTGTGTTGGACTGGTTCTGGCCTCAGGGCCCTTCCTTTGCTGATCCTTGAGGCTGCAGCTACACACACTCTGAGAGCTTCACACAACCAGCCCCTTCCTTGTGAGGTCAGCCGTGTCACCTTCTCAGATGCTTCCTGACTACCCCTACCTCCTGTTGCCCACCCCTCCTCGTCACCAGCACATTGCTGTTTTTTTCATGGTACATCAAGCTGTAAGAAAGGCTCTTATTTATCCTCTTTCTGCAAACATGGAGACAACAAGAGAGGGTCTGTTTACAGCTGTCTGTCTAGGGCCTGACAGTGCCTAGCAGCAACTGGCATTTGGCAAACCTTTGGCAATGAAGGACGAATCATCTAATGTGGAGCTGCCATTAGGAGGTAACCTGTTTTCCCTTTGCAGTGTTGATGGGAACCATTTTCAGCATCCTGCTGGTGACCATCATCCTTATGGCATTTTGTGTCTACAAGCCCATTCGGCGTCGGTAACAGCTGAACAAACAAGTTCTTCCACGAGCATTTGGGAACAGGATAAGTCGTGTTGCGCATGGGCCAGTGGAGAAGTTGGAATCAGAACTTTCCTACGTGCACATGATCTTTGGTCTGGACAGCTGGTAAATGCTAAATTATTTAGAAAAAACATCTAGCAATTATTTTTTCCTAACACAGTAATGCAAATAACTGACCACTGAGTCTGCTTCTCAGTATTTGTTTGTTTTTTTATCTGACTGTCTTGTTAAAAGTAAGGCCTGACAGCTCCAGTATTTAGAGTAAAGGTGGAGTGCTCACAAGAAAGAAAACATGGCAACCCTGTATCTATAAGAACTACACTGGAAAGAACTAATCATTAATGCTTGAAAAGATTCATAAGAGGAAGGCTTACCATGTAGGTTTCTCCTGTTTAAGAATCATTCAAGCCAGGCTCGGTGGCTCAGCCTGTAATCCTGCGCTTTGGGAGGCTGAGGTGAGTGGATTGCCTGAGCCCCCAGGTTCGAGACCCACCTGGGCAACTTGGCGAGACCTCATCTCTACAATAAATCAAAAAATTAACCGGGCGTGGTAGCGCATGCCTGTAATTCCAGCTACTTGGAAGGCCGAGGCGGAAGGATCGCCAGAGCCCAGCAGGTCGAAGCTGCAGTGGCCGGAAGCGGCCCCTGCACTCCAGTCTGGGTGACAGAGTGAGACTCCAACTCAAAAAAACAAGAAAGAATCATTCGTTCACAGTGGGTTAAGAATCACAGATTTTTTTTACTTCATCTGGGTTGGCCTAAAATGCTGTGGTTGCAGTATCAGTTATGAGGAACTTAGGCCACCACTCCTCACTTGCATTCGATTGTGCACTCAGATGTTCCCACTGAAATCAGGGTACACGAGGTACACAGGCATCCTTGGCCTGGAAGGCTCTGGGGTTGCTCAGATGCATTGAGATCTCCCTGTACTACACTTAGGTCTTTCTAGCCCACAGTCCAAGACTTGTGGTGGCTTTTCAGACTTGGAATCTGAGAGGCACAGCAGGTGCTCCTTTCAGCCCTGGGTGGCGAGGGCTCAGCCTGCAGAAGTGCGTGTTCACTGCACAGGCCAGTGTGTGTTTATACACATTTCATCTCAATGTTGAAAATGCTGCTATGAGTTTGCACTGTTGGTGAACTGGGTTTTTTTCCCCTGTTGAAATGATTCTTTCATTCTTATAATGTGGTTATCAATATTTATTTTAAGGTGCTAGACTTGATTTTGTTGTTAAATTGAAATGTTTCTCTTGTGCTCCATTCAAGCACAGCACTGATTTTTTTTTTAACAACCTGCACTTAATGTGAAATAACTGATGTAGGATACTGTAAATGTTTGACTTAAGGATTTTGTTTGTAATATAACACTGAGCCATTCAAATGTTCACTGTTATGTGGTTTTGAGCAAAACGTCGATTAAAATTAAAATCCTATATGTGGTTCTATTCCTAATTATTTCCCAAGTGTTTGAAAAGCAGGTATGTGTTTGAGTCCGATCTATTAAGGAAGCACTATGAAGGGAAATTTTAAATTCATGTGTTGCCCTCAAGACAAGGTTATTGATTGTTTCCGAAAGCTAAGCGTAATCCCACTCTCAGGCCGGGCCAGGGAGCAGAAGACCTGGATTCTCATTCCAGCTCCAATTACACAGACTTAAGTTCTCTGGAGCCTCAATTTTCTCATTTGTAACATGGTATCATACACACTCTCAATTGCAAAGATCCAATGAGGCGAAAACTAATATGAATGCAAATGAATCAGCATGGTTGGCCTATCCCATAGAAGTCTGTGGTTATTAACAGGAGGGAGGAAGAATGGGTGGCACCCTGAGACACAAGCATTGACAGAGTTCCATACCAGAAGCATACATCCCCACCTCATCTGGAACGCTGTGTTTTCATGTGATGCCTTATGTTTACTGCCATTTGTAGGACTTTAAAAGGAAACAGTAAAAACTTGCTGTTAGCTCAGTACTACCAGCCAGAGTTGGTTCGTATTCATTTTCTGAAACAGCTTTGCGATGTTGATATTCCACACACAAATCCAAAGCCCAGTGTACATCTTCATTCCAATTTTATCATCTGTACAAGATTCCAAGCTAAAATAAGACAAATAATAATCTTTATGGAAAGAGACTTATTATAGAGACGTGAAAAGATAAAACATCAATTCTGGAAGGGGATTATACAGAAAACATTTATGCACCAAAGACTGGCCAACTAGTACTTTCAAGTGGAATTATTTTCCTGGTCTTTATCTCTGGAGATGCAGAGGGAGGTAGCAGCCAAACCCTAGACTTCGTAACACAAATCTGTACTCAGAATACCATCTCTACTCAGTTGAACACATTTTATTAGTTAAAAATAGATATTAGATAAAAATGAGTTATGTCAGCAAACACTAAATTTTCTTTAAAGCTGATATTAAGAAGTCTCCTGGAGCCAGGTGCAGTGGCTCAAGTCTATAATCCCAGCACTTTGGGAGGCCAGGCTGGGAGGAGCACTTGAGGCCAGGAGTTGAGAACAGCCTGGGCAACATAGTGAGACCCTATCTGCAAAAAATTGAAAATAAAAATTAGACAGATGTGGTGGTACATGTCTGTAGTCCTAGCAACTCTGAGGTTGGTGGATTGCTTGAGCCCAGGAGTTCACTAGGCTCAAGCAGTCCCATCACTGCACTCCAACCTGCAAAAAAGTCACCTGGTACAGCTTATGATTTAGAGGCACTGGAGTCCTGGTGTGTTACTATTTTTTCTAGCTGGATCTCAGTCTTAAACCCACACATATGAGGAGGACCCCCCCAAAATAAATTATTTTTTGGAGGGCAGGCCCCTTGTAATGCAGGCTTCCTCCAGTAGTTAAGTGTTGTAGGAACCCATCAGCATCATTGTGAGGGGCTGCATTCAAGCTTCGGTGAATTTTCTTGGAGATTATTTCAACATGTTTGCCCGTTTCATGATGATTTACAAGCGCACTTGCCTTCACCACACTGAGCGTTCAGCAGTGTGGGACCAGAAGCGGTATGACCCGTGCCCCACCTTCCCTATTCACCCTATCTTGCCCCAGGCAACTTTTGTTTTCCTTGAGAAAGTCCCTTTCAAAGGGAACCATTTTGCTTATCTGGAAGAGGTAAAACAAAAAACAGAAGAACAAAAAGACATCAAAAATTGATGAATTCAGGAATTTTTGAGCAGTGGACAAAGTGTCTCAATATGCAGATTGCATCAAATGGAGAGTACTTTGAAGGTGACTGAAGTTTAAACATGTAAGAATACACAATTTTTTATAAATTCTGGGTTTTGGGGGGGCCCATCATATTTCTAGAGAGGTGTAGGTGGGACTTTGAACTCCATCACTTACTGCATAACAGAGTCACCTGAAATTCCCATAGTCCAGTTCATCTTCTTTGATCAGCAGGAGACAGACTAAGCTAGTGGTTATCGTAATTTCCCATTCCTGTCATTAGAGTAGACGTATCCATTTCAACATCTCACAATACGGACAGCATGACAAACTTGTTTACACAACAAAGTGCTTTAGGAACTTTGTTATACCTGGTTCCTAGCAGTGTCTAACATGCAAGCATTGGTCAGTTAAAGTTTCTGCTGGTACTGGGCCACTCAGCCTTAGCTATTCAGTTTTTAGTCAAATCCATGTGTTGTACCTCTCGGTCTAAGAAGAGTAATGGTTTTCATTATAGTGTTCTTGCGGCTCAAAGTTTCAGCATCTACTTTCCCCACAAATCAAAGCAGTTCCTTCACATCTTCCCAGAAATAGAGCCTCATTTCTGAAACCCAAACATTTTTATTAGCCACTGATTTCTGTTTTAGCACCAACACATTTGGGTAAGGGATGAGTTTAGAAGCCCTAACTGTCATCTTGACTTACAAGAACAGCCTCACAAAGCACTCTGGCTTCAAAGAAGAGAGGGTATTCACTAAAGGAAATCTGATGTTGGCTTGGCTTCCCTTTCAAGAGCCTGTCCACCTCAGAAGTGTCTCAAGGCAGACTTGTTTTCAGTTTCCATTTGAAACAAGCAGTATGGGGCTTATGGACTGTATAACTTGTGCAGGAAGGCTGAGAAGGGCATGTCACCTTTGTAAATTAGGTACAGCTGGCCAGTGTGAGGCAATCCAATATTCTGTTGATATACAAAACAGGAAGTGTGGGTCCATCCAGTGACTAGAAAAAATGTGAAGAGAAAAAAAAGACTCAAAGATTTTCTGGAATATTGTATGAGCACCCTCTAAGGAAGCAGTCTTTATTTGCATTTTAAGAGTGAACACATTTTAAGAATGAAAAATGCTGTGACAGGTTGACAGATGCTCAGTCCCTTTTTAAGTGACTTCCTGGGGAGAAAGTCAAAGACTTCAAGAAGCAGAGCAATGGAATGCAAATATAGAAATTACCTATGAAATAAAAAAAAAGTTTCCTATGATTCACCTTAGGTAAAGACATGGCCTAACTGCAGCCATTCCCAAGAAGTGTCTTCGCTCACATTAAACACAAGTAAACAATATGCCAAGCTACATATCTGAAACAAGTGTGACATTACCAATATTGGCCTTGTGTGCAGAGAAGGAATTTTCATCAGACCATGACAAAAAATGCAGATGGTTATATGGATTAAAAGCACAATTATTTGTGACTAGGAACGTTTTACTGGCAATACTAACTGTTTGATACAGATGCTAATTGGAACAATAGTTTATTTCTCTTCCTATTCTGAAAGAAGCATAACAGAGGAAACAGACGCAAAACAGGATATTGTTTACCGGGTTATTTCAGTGCAGCCTGTGGGAATGAATACATGGGCCAGGGTGGGTGCCCTCAGCTGTATTCCCCAGGGTTCTGTATGTTGTGTAATGGTTATTTACAGGAGGGTTTGACAAAATAGTTAACTACTAAAGGTATTCAAAAAAGGCCTGAGAAAATCTGGTTAAAATGTATAACCTTGTATTGCTACTGATGGGAGTAGTCGTTTGTATATCTCTTAAAAATAATAAAAAGATTCTGTTAAAAAAATATTTATCCAGAAAGATGTTGATTTAAATTCTAAAAAGCAACATGGAATCACCATTTTACCTTTAAAATGAAGAGCAGAGCCACTGAGCTCTGTTAAGCTCCCTTTCTAGTTGCAAGTTCATCCTTCCTTTCAAGTGAGACTAGGGCATGCAGTGGTTTCTTCTAGGCATCTCCAAGGAAATCCTTCACTAAAGCAGGTATAGAACACACACCTGGTTTGAGTCTGTGCTGTGCCAGTATTTTGGCCAGCTTTTAAGAACAAGCCTCAGAGTCCCCCTAGCTGCTCCTTCAGGGACAGGATTAGCTAGCTGCCTTTGATTTAGCCTGGAGGAGCCTGCTGTCAAAGGAATTGCCTTTACAAATTCAAATCAGATCCTTCAGTAAGTGGAGCGAGGTGGTTTAAAACTATTAGTAATTTTTAAGGCTAAGGCAACATCCATGGTCATTTGATGCAAATAGTTAACTATAATCTAAAATAAGATCCTATACATATCTCCTATAACTTTAGTTTGGAGGGAGGAACGGAAGGAATGGAAAAAGATGGAGATGGAGGAGGAATGATGACAATGTCCTAGAAACCCTGTATAAAGGTAAAAACAAAGAGTAGATCGGCACAGATGACCCATTTCTTTGGTGAACAGTATAGAAGTGTCTCAAATTTCATAAACCACACTCTACAAAGGCTGCTGTTGCTCTCATATATAAAAGCACCCTGACTCTGCAATAACTTGTTTTGTTATCACTTCTTGATAAAAATGTATCTACAAACCTGTGGGGATTGGGATTTTGTCTAAAGCTGGTAGTAAAAAGGTGACCTGCAAGCCAGTACAGCTAATGGAAAGTGACGATGCTTTCCTCCCCTTGGCCTGAAGATGGGGCCTGCCAATTGCTGGCCCCTTCTCCTCCCCAGGGAGCATCTGGATGGGCCTGGGAGTCCCTGGTTCTGCACCTCTGCATAAAGAAGGGGCAGCTGCCATCCACTGCATACATGCAAGGTGCAGACCCTCAGTCTGGGGCCCTGGTTGACAGTGTCCACAGCAGCCCAGAGCCTCTGCTTTGTGCAGCCTGTGGGCAGAGAGGTCTATTTCTCAGTGAGCGATAGCTGTAAGACTTGCTGGAGCTCAGCCTCCTCCTCCTGGAGCCGGAGCTCCCGTTCCTCCAGCTCTTTGGCAGAGAGCTCCATGGCCAGCTGCAAGTCACTGTCAAAACGGCTTATCTCGCTTGGGACACTGGGGCACAGGCCTTCCGTATTGGGGAGGAGGCTCTCCTGGATGGCCCTGGGTTGGAAAAAGGAAAAAGAGACAGGGTCATTACTGTCTTCATAATGGCAGAGCAGCAACTGCATTTCTTCACTGCTTATCAAGCTCAGGCTGTGTCAGGCCTTCTATGTGCAAGACACCATTTGATCCCACGTAACTCTGGGAGTGCAGGTGCTGCCTACAAGTAGGAAACCCAACGCTCCTGCCAAAGCCCACCCAGCTACTAAGTGATGGGGTTGGGAACTGAACTTGGATCTATTTTAAAAGCAAAACCCAAGTTCCTCATCTACCGGCTCTCACAGATGCCTATAAAGTATGAGAGAATGCTTTGTAAAAATAAATCTTTCCAGTTTGTCCCTTAAAAGATATTCTAACCATCTCTGGAGCTCTCCCCCAAACTCCCCCACCTTTATAACAGTAAAAACTTCTGACTGAGGGCATCTAGACCCAGTGATCATACATTCTTCATAGAAGATGAAACCAACCAGAAAACAATTACTTGGTGCTCTTCTGCCAGTGGCACTGACCTGTGAACTAGTAAGCAATTCTATCACCCATTTCTGGAAACTTGCTACCAAAACTTTAAAGCTATTTTGGCGAGTAACTGCCACAAGAGGAGGCAGGAAGAAGTCAACACTTTATAGTCTCTTGCCAGTATGAGGTGCCACACATCTGTCCAGGGACCAAATGCATGGTGCCACGTGTCTGCCTGTGTATTGAGCACCTGTGGCAACCTAGGTTTAATCAGGAGTCACAGCAATCACCTTTCATACTGGGCATCATAGGCGTGTGTCTGGCTGATCCCACCATTTGAATCTGGTCCTGAAAGTTCCTATCAAAAAGAAACATGACAGACATGAATATCCTGCAGAAGTGATAAGTGCCATACTGATAAGGAAATGAAAGCAGCAAGAACAAAATGAAAATATTTACATACCCATTATTGATAGTGCTGTGTGAAAAACTCATAGGGACTTGGGTTACCTCAAAAACAACACCTAATGTCAGTACATGCCATCCCCTGGCTCAGCCACACCTTCTCATAGTTTCCATAAGCTAAATCTGTTTTTCTTAAATATTAGAAATGGTAGTCTTGCTATATTGCCCAGGCTAGTGTCAAATTCCTGGGCTCAAGTGATCCTCCTGCCTCAGCCTCCTGAGTAGCTGGGACCACAGGTACACCAATGCCCAGCCAAAAACAATCTATTAAAAATGGCTAAGCTTGGGCAAAGTTTAAATGACCAAAGCAGGTCATTCTTTTATGGCAAGATTAAAAGACAAAACTCAGTATTTGTAGCCTTTGACTTTGGCTACTCCTCTCGTCAAAACTTACAATCAACAAGTTTTATGTAGATATTTGGGGGTGGGGGCTAAAATCACTTATGTAGAGAAAAGAGAAGCACACAGGGCTGACAGGGCCATCTGGGGGTTGGGCCTTCTCCAAGAGGCCTTCCAAAGGGAACATGCCTGCTCTGGTGTCTGGCCCTTGGTCCAGCTGCCTCAGAAAATGGAATGGGTCCATGGTGGTGGCAGGGGCAAGTGGAGGAGGGGGAGGGGTGTCACATGATGTAAGCTCTGGACTCAAAAATAAAGCCAGAAAGCCAAAAGCCTGAGCCAGTGTGGATGCTGGAGCATGGATAACTGTGCTCCATGAGGGCAGGGCAGGGACTGTTCACCAAAGAACTGCCAGCATCTAGCACAAAGCAGTCACTCTGGAAATATCTGCTGAATGAACTATGGAAGGAAAGCAGAAACCAGTGAGCAAATAAATGGATGCTAGGAGCCCAGGACACACTAGAGGGTGGTGGAGGCAGACCAGATCCCACCCTAGTAGTGCCAGGAGCCAAAGAAGGAAGGAGACTTCAAGTCTCAGGCTACCCCAGGCAGGTAAGGCCAGGAGGGAGAACCACATACGATGACAAAAGGCAACTGTTCTTCTGGGCGTGGTGGCACACAACTATAGTCCCAGCTACTCAGAAGGCTGAGGCAGGAAGATTGTTTAAGCCCAGGATTTCAAGGCTGTAGTGCATGATGATCACACCTGTGAATAGTCACTGCACCCCTGCCTAGATGACACAACAAAACCCCACCTTTAAAAAAAGGGCAACTGTTCTTCTTTTTGGGGGGGGGGGGTTGAGTTGGAGTCTCACTCTGTCACCCAGACTGGAGTGCAGTGGCCACTCCTGGCCATCGCAGCCACGACCTGTCGGGCTCCGGGAATCCTTCCGCTTCAGCCTTCCAAGTAGCTGGAACTACAGGCGCGCGCTACCACACCCGGCTAATTTTTTTGATTTACTGTAGAGATGAGGTCTCGCCAAGTTGCCCAGGCAGGTCTCGAACCCGCAAGCTCAGGCAATCCACTCACTTCAGCCTCCCAAAGTGCAGGATTACAAACTGAGCCACCGAGCCCAGCAGGGCAACTGTTCTTACACAAGTCCTGGCCTTAGTTCTACATTTCACTAGAGATCCAGAGAGAGTTTAATGAGAAAATACCCCTGGGGAGGGAGCTGGGATTCAGATCTACATTACTGCCTTTATCTGAGACTACTGACACAGATAAGCTTTCAGGAAATATATGATGGTGTGAGTTACCATGAATTTGCTGCTTCAGTACCAGAAAATTATGAAGCATATCTCAAAAGATACACAACTGTGAATTACATGGGTGAATATGAGGAAAAGGAATGTCTGTCTAAAGACATCTTGAGAATGGTGCTGACTGGGATCATGCACATGGTCTCCTACACAATAAGCTTTTGTAAAAAGACCAGGTACACCCCACAAAACTATAATAAAAATACTGATTAATTATTAAAAAAAAAAAAAAAAAAAAAAAAAGACCAGGTACAAAAAATATAAAATAATCTATATAGATACCATGAATGTACCAAACTTGTTATGCAGAGTAATTCTTTCAGGCTAACCAAATGCTGAGGCTAAGCCAGAGGGTGAGGCCAGACCTCCCAGGCCCTGAACTTTATGCTGATAAATGCACCTGGCTCCTGCTGGACTCCAGCAGGCTCTGCTGGATGGCAAACTGCATTATTTCATAATCTTCATCTTGCAAATGTACGTTTCTGCCATTGTCTTGAATGTGGTAAGATTCAGGAATTTCAAACACAGATTGATCAACTTCAAAATTTGTGACGTGAGAAGCTGAAATATAAAAGGCAATTGTCCAGTGTCTGAGTTAATTACAATAAATTCCCACTTCAACATTTTGCAAAATTGTTTTAAGGTAAAAAAAAAAAATGAAAGGATCAAAATAATAATAATAATCAAGCCTTGCTATTATGTGGGAGATTTTGAAGAAAAAGCGTGACAGAAAAAAGTACCAGAATATAGCTTTTTTCTTTTTGTCTTATTTTTTTTTTTACTCCTGCCCCCCTGCCTTATTTTTCAAGAAAAAAAAAAAAAAAATGAATTCAGAGTTATGAAAAATATACCTAAGACTGTAAAATGAAAAGTGAAGATCTCTCTCCCTACAAACATACACACAATCACACCAATGTGGTTTTTTCCTTCTGCATCAAGAAAAATGGTAAACATATAAAAGAATGTACATAGGCCGCTCGCTCCCTCGGTTCCTCCGCGCCGCAGCCGCCGCCGAGCCCTCCGCCACCGCCTCCGAGCAGAAGATGGCTGTGCCTCCCACGTACATTGATCTTGGCAAATCTGCCCGGGATGTCTTCACCAAGAGCTACGGATTTGGCTTAATAAAACTTGGTTTGAAAACAAAATCTGAGAATGGATTGGAATTCACAAGCTCAGGCTCAGCCAACACTGAGACCACCAAAGTGACAGGCAGTCTGGAGACCAAGTACAGGTGGACTGAGTATGGCCTGACGTTTACGGAGAAATGGAATACTGACAACACACTAGGCACCGAGATTACTGTGGAAGATCAGCTTGCACGTGGACTGAAGCTGACCTTCGATTCATCCTTCTCACCAACACTGGGAAAAAGAATGCTAAAATCAAGACAGGGTACAAGCGAGAGCACATCAACCTGGGCTGCGACGTGGATTTCGACATTGCCGGGCCTTCCATCCGGGGCGCTGTGGTGCTGGGTTACGAGGGCTGGCTGGCTGGCTACCAGATGAATTTTGAGACTGCAAAGTCCGGAGTGACCCAGAGCAACTTTGCGGTTGGCTACAAGACTGATGAATTACAGCTTCACAGTAATGTAAATGACGGGACAGAGTTTGGTGGCTCCATTTACCAGAAGGTTAACAAGAAGCTGGAGACTGCTGTCAATCTCGCTTGGACAGCAGGAAACAGCAACACTCGCTTTGGAATAGCGGCCAAGTATCAGATGGACCCTGATGCCTGCTTCTTGGCTAAAGTGAACAACTCCAGCCTGATAGGTTTAGGATACACTCAGACCCTAAAGCCAGGTATCAAACTGACGCTGTCAGCTCTCCTGGATGGCAAGAACGTCAATGCCGGTGGCCACAAGCTTGGTCTAGGACTGGAATTTCAAGCAAAAATGAATACTGTACAATTGTTTAATTTTAAACTATTTTGCAGCATAGCTACTACCTTCAGAATTTAGTGTATCTTTTAATGTTGTATGTCTGGGATGCAAGTATTGCTAAATATCATGTTAGACCTCCAGGTTAAAGATGATTCAGCTTTAAGGTGTTACCCTTTCAGAGGTACAGAAGAAACCTGATTCCAAAAAAGGTCCTTTCATCTGAATACTTGGGGGGAACTTGGTGGTTCCTCTAGAGATGTCAGATTTTTTTTTAATCTAGAAATGGCTGCAGATGGAAGCTGATGATGTGTAGGCACTTTGTAAATTCATACTGAGTACATGAATGAAATTGTGACTTCCTGAGAATTGAAGCTTGGTTTCCTAACCGTAATCAATGAGAGGGTCATTGCTTGATAGTGTGTACAACCTCACCTGAAAGGAACTTTTTTCGACAGATCGTCACGACCTGTTCCCACCCCAGTCCATCGTCACTTTTACACTAAAAGGTCTGCAGGATGTGGTAACAGTTTCTTTTGTGCCATTTTGGGGTGGAGAGGATGGATGTGATGAAGCCAATAATTCAGGACTTAATTCCTTCTAGTGTTGTGTTTTTTTGCCCTTGCACCAGAGTATGAAATAGCTTCCAGGAACTCCAGCTATAAGTTTAGAAGAGTCTCTGTGATTGTTAATCACATGGTGACAACACTCAGAATCTCAATTGGACTTCTGTTGTATTGTCACCACTTAATTTATTTTTTAGCAGTTTAATGGGTACATTTTAGAGTCTTCCAATTTGTGTGGAATTAGATACTCCCCTTCAAATGCTGTAATTAACATCACTTAAAAATAAAACTTGAATAAAATATTGAAACCTCAAAAAAAAATGTACATAAAATACTGAACATTTAAAAGAAAAAAAAAATGATGGCCGGGCTCGGTGGCTCAGCCTGTAATCCCACACTTTGGGAGGCCAAGGTGAGTGAATTGCCTGAGCCCGCGGGTTCGAGACCTACCTGAGCAACTTGGCGAGAACTCATCTCTACAATAAATCAAAAAAATTAGCTGGGCGTGGTAGCGCGCGCCTGTAGTTCCAGCTACTTGGAAGGCTGAGGCGGAAGGATTGCCGGAGCCCAGCAGGTTGAGGCTGCGGTGACGGGGAGCAGCCACTGCACTCCAGTCTGGGCAACTGAGTGAGACTCCAACTCAAAAAATAAATAAATAAATAAAAAAGAAAAGAAAAATGATAACAAAACAAATGCCTATGTATCCTTCACCCAGCCCAAGACACAGAACAATACCAATACCACCCTCCAGGCACTCCCCTGCTAAATAGTATCCCTTTCTCCTCTGCAGTGGTAAACACATAATTCAGAATGGGAATTTGCACTGCCTAGCTCTTCTCTAGATTTGTCACATGTGTATACTCTTAATAGTTATTTTAGCCTGTTTTTTTGAATCTCATGGAATTCATGCTTCAAAATGTACTTTTTTCATTCAACATGTTTTTGAGATTCACCAGTTTTGATGCACATGGCTGTAAATTTTTATTTTCACTACTGAATGTTATTCCATTGTGCTAATTTAGCACAATTAGCACATTCTACAATCTCAGCACATTTTAGGTAGTTTCCAGATTTTTGCTATCATGAACAATGCTGCTGTCCATTATTGGAGTCTCCAGATGCCCATGTGCGTAAGTTTCTCTAGGGCACACATTACCTAAGAACTGCTAGGTTATAGGGCATATACATCTTCAACTTACTAATGCCAAGTTGTTTTTTTAGAAATTATACCAATTTAATTACTCTTTGTGTCAAGAGTGGATGAATGTTCCTCAGCTGAACAACCTCATGAGCACATAAGATTACCAACTTTATTGCCCCAAGGGAATGTAAAATTGAATATCATGAGTTCAATTGTTTTTATCTGAAACTTTAATTTATATACATTAAAATGTTATAACTCCTCATACCAGTAAAGTAAAGGAGAAAACCATAGGACCATATCAATATTTGCAGGAAAAGCATTTGACAAAAATCAATACCTAGTAGTGGTAAAAACACTCAGCAAACTAGGGATAAAGGGAAGAATTTCCTCAACCTAATAATGAACACCTACAAGAACACAGCTAGCATCATACCTACTGCTGAAACAATGCTTCCTCCTCTAAAATCAGAACCAAGGCAAGGACTTTGTCCCTTACCACTTTTATTCTACATTTTACTCTATGTCCTAGCCAGTGTAAAAAAAAAAAAAAGCAAGAAAAAAAGAGTTAAAGATTGGAAAGGAAAAAGTAAAATTATCTTTATTCACAGAAAACATGATAATCCATGTATCAAATTCTAAGGCATCTACTATATAAAAGCTACCAGAAGTCAAGTGAATTCAGTAATGTTACAAGATACAAGGTCAAAATATAAAAATCAATATATTCCCATATTTTAGAAACTAGTAAATAAAATTTAGAACTTGAATCTATAACAACATCTAAAAATATGAACTGAATCAGTGGTAAAGGAGTATGAGGAAATCTGAGAGCAGATAGAAACGCTCTCTATCTTGATTGTGGTGGTGGGTACACAGATATATACCAATTGTCAAAATGTATTGAACTGTCACACCTAAATGGAAGCATTTTATTGTATGTACATTACACCCCAATAAAGTTTTTAAGAACATGCAGTCCTTTTACTACAAGTGGGATCATACATAGTCTACAAGTTGGTTTTTTTTGCTTAATAGACCCCAAATTTTCTTTCATCCAACAGAGAGATCTGCTTCATAAGATATTCCAATTTCAAACTGAATAATTAATTTAATGACAGAATGTATGAATTTTTGTTAAAAGTCATAGAACTCAACTTTTTTTTTTTTTTTTTTTTACCTGAATCAGCCTGGGTCCCTTCCACATTTTGAGACATGGTTTCTTTAGCAGTGCTACAGCCATTAACATTTCCAAATGTAATCCGTGCATTTAAGACATGAAACAAGGGAATTTCTAAGAAATAAAAGATTTTAAAAATAAACTCTACCAAGAATAATAATAATACTTATCATTTACTGAGTGTTTACTATGCTAGTACTGTGCCAAGCACCTTTTATAAGTATGATTTCATTTAAGCCTCATAACAACCCTCCTGCAAATACAGCTGGGAAAACTTAGATTCAGACCACAGTAAGTGATTGAGCCAGGATTCAAGTGTCATAAATATGCAACTATTCAAAATTAAAATTCCACATGAGTAACATGTGTTACATATAGCATTATGCATAATAGTTTGGCCCTAAAGCATAGGTGTATCAAAGGATCCTGGTGTCAACTGTCTTCCTCAAAAAATTACCTAATTTGAAGTTTCACTTAAGGTTTGGTATTAAAACAATGACTAGGCCATATTGTTAAGCTTTTTTACATTTGTCAGCACCGTCTGCAAATAGAATTGATGGTTGGAGATCGCCTAATTTTGATATGCAAAGTGAACCAAGAATCATAATACTTTTTAAATCACATTAAACTAGAGGAGAATTCTGACCTCCTCTATTATGTCTATCCTATGCTCCTTTGTACCCAAAGTGCTCCAATTCCCTGAAGCACATCTTGCCACCCACCAAAAACAAGCAAAACCTACAAGCGTTCCTGGGGTTTATTTAATGGTACCTATTTTGACAGGAAATCCAGGTGGGAATTCCAGTTTGATGAAATCTCTCAATCTTGCAAAATGAGCACTAGTTCGAGCCATTAGGTCAATAATGGGAATGACCTGTTCCACAAGAGAGAGGGGAAACTCTTCACACATCCACAGAGTTGCTTTAAACCTGCAGGATTCAACCAAGAAAAGACAGGGGCCATCACCACCAGATGGGCAAAGCGGACTACTGCTCTGCAGTAGGCTAGACAACAGCAGCCTCTTTACCCCACACTCTTCCCAGTGATCTCTCAGTCCACAGCTGCTAAAGGGCTAGAACCACAGGGAATTCAGATCACCCTGAAATCTGGCAGTCAGGGGAGATGACCTGCACGACCACCTCCCACCAGACAGCCTAAATTGACAGCAAGCACGAAGAAATCGACAGCTGGTGGAAACCATTTCATTTGATCAGCTGAAGCTTGTTAGCAATAAAAACAATACTAATCAGGAATTCTTTAACATCTATCTATATTCTGTTTGGAAAGGGGCTAATAAGATGGGCAATCTACTATTAGTTTTCATCGCATAAAGTAATTAAAAAATTGTTTTTGTTAAAAAGGTACAGAGGAGGGACTGAACATAACACTGTAAGACAGCACAACTTCTGAAACAATCCACAGGTTGAAATGGCAGCTGAATTTCTCTTACTTCTGTGTTCTGATGGTCAGCTCTTTTGGCCTTCCAATGTCCCTGTCCTTCAGATCAAACTCTTCGTTAAAGTACTCTTCAGGTGTGATGGCTGTGGGATTGTTGGTGGTGGCACATTCTGTGGTGAGATCCTGTGGAGTCAGAACTCAGGAGAGTTAGAAATGCCAAGTGATGGTCACAAGTGGAGGCCTACGGTACTGTCTCTGAGGTGGACAAGTGAACCAGCTATGGATCAGGAAGTTTTAGTCACTGGCTTTTTAAAATTAAATTATTGCACAGAACCAGAAAATCTACAAAGATGTTACCAAGCTACATGGCAAGTCTAATTAATGTCTTCATTTTAAAATGTTTCTCAAATCTCCTTGGTGTTTTTTCTCCTGGTTGTAGAAAAGAAAAAGGAGAGACAGAAATATCTGAAAGTACATGAGATTTGAAAGACTTGGAGTTTAAGTCACTGTCTAGCTTTGATAATGGAAAGGTAATTTCATTTTCCTGACCCTCAGGGACATCCACTGTACCAATTGCATATTGTTACTGTAAGGATCAAGTAAGAAAGTGTTTGTTAAGGTGCTCTGTTACAGTATAAAGTCCTGAATCATTTTAAGTTCCATTTTTAGAAAGGCCCCTCATTTATAAAATATTAGAAAAAAAGCATCTAATTTCTATAATCACTACCCCATCTCCAAAATCTTTATTTCCAAAGACCCGCTCATCTAATTATCTTCCAAAAGAATATCTCAGATAACAGCTTGGGAATATTCTTTAACCTTTTCCAATAGCCTGTTCAGGATCCAGTAAAAGCCATCACAAGCACAGATAAGTCTTTTTCTTCATTAAACTGGATTTAAAAAGCGAGTTGCTTCAACTTACCCCTTGAGCACCAAACTGGTGTTCCACAGTTCCCAGCAAAGATTCCAGTGGGTTCCTGTCAGCTACAGAAGGGTGAAAGTTTAATGTCCAATATTATATCTTACTGTGGCTATAAAAGTCTTCATTGTCTTCCAATGACAATGGAGGCTACCTGTAATAGGAAATCTATTCAGACTGGTCAATAAAATCATCTGCAATAACCATAAGCTAGTTTGTCCTTTATAAGTATATTTTGTATGAGGATCTCTAAAGTAGATGAATGGTTATAAGAATTAAAGCAGAACCATGGGAAGAGTGTGGATTTAGGAGTGAGCCAGATCTGCAACTTAGTCCCACCACGGCCACTCACTACTCGTGTTCTGGGCCACAGTTCCCTCATGTGTACAACTGGAGTAACGACAATAATGGTGGTAGTTAACAATTAGTGCACATCTACCACACATGGCAGGCACCGTTCTAAAGCCTTACTGTCATAATTCTTCTCAGTCTCTCAATAACTCTAAGGAAATTCCAGCATCACCTCCATTTCACTGCTGAGGAAACTGAGGCGCAGAGAGTAGGTAACTTCACAGGGCCGGGATATGGCAACATTTGAGTTCAGAGCCCAAGTTCTGGTCAAATCTTTCATCACAATAGTGTAGACTAAGTCACTCACTCCAATCATAAATATTCTTTGATATCCTCCTTATCTACTTTTTTGGCTGAATCCAACAAGTATTCTTCATAACATAAATAAACCCTCATGAATGGTTTTCATTACAGCTAGAGCCAACTATGAGGGAGGACCCAAAATAAAACTATTATTATCTTTTGGAGGACAGGTTCCATGTAGTACAGGCTTCTCCCACTAAGTGTTCTAGGAACCCATCAGCATCAGTGTACAAACTAGCATGGTTTTGGGAGGCTGTGTTCGGCTTCAGTGAATTGGTTTTTTGGAGAGGCTTTCAACAAGTTTGCTCATTTCATGATGGGTGATTTATGAGAACACATGCCCACACTACATTAAGTGTTCAGTTTTCAACCAAAAACAGCATGACCTCTGTGTCCCACCCTCCCTATTCACCCGTTCTCACCCTGAACAACCTATTTTTGTTTCCCCGGATGAAAAAAGTCCTCAAAAGGACAGGTTCTGCTAATGTGGAAGGGTGAAACAAAAAATGGCAGAAGCACTAGAGCATCAAAATTGACAAGTTCAAAAACTGTTTGAGCAATGGGAAAAGCATATTGATAGGTGTAATGCAACAAACGGAGAGTACTTTGAATGTGCCTAAAGTTTAAATGTGTACGAATAAATATACAATTTTTTATAAATAAATTCTGGGACTTGGGAGGTCTAACTTGTATGGGGAAATACCTCCAAGACTGAGTCTGACTAAGGAAATATTTATTTTTTAAAAGTTAGGGTTAAGATTAGTACATCCTAACCACATTAACCCCATACTTAACAGAGCCAAGAAAGGCTCTCTCTAGGCTTAAAAAACAAGAGTTGGTGGTGATTACCTTTATATCTCTTCTTTTCCTCCTCCGTCAGATGTTCTGTGCGTATTCTGGTTATCACACTCACATTGTTTACTGTGTAAACCTTGAGAGATGTGTGCAAAAGAAAACAGTGACACAGGGAATCAAAACTTGAAAAATAAGCATAGCAAGAGCAAGAATGTTGAAGCAAAAAAAAAAAAAAATCCAGCAAAATAAAAATGAGAAATGGTTAATGATCATTAGGCCCCTTCAGAGAAAACACACAAACTATCAACTTAGAAATGCAGCAGCAGTGACTTTCCATGTTTGGCAGTTTTAATACCGAGGAGTTAACAGTGACAGGCTGCATCTTCCTACTTGCCATTCTTGTGGCTAAGCAATCTCAAGCACATGTCCTGCAATGTAGGCTTCCCACCCGGATTTCTATCGTACTAAAGAACCCAAACCTGGATTACATACTTCTACTGATTTGTGGCCAACTTATAAGAATATTGACTTAGACAGCTATCTGCTGGGCAAAGGAAAAACAAATGAACACAAGGTTCTCCAGAACTTGAGATTTAGAGAAAGTCAGTCAGTCACCATCGAAAAGGTATTCCATATACTGACAAAAAGTTATTGTAACTGCCATAGTAAATGCTACTATCAAGAATGACTAGGGAATTATGGTGATCTGGAATATTTAAAATAATAGTTAACAGATAATTAATTGAATATGCCATATGTAAATTCCCAGCCTTCAAAGCTGCAGAAAACACACTCAGCACTAGCACAAGTGTTTCTAAATGTATCTTGCTGATGAGCATGACATAAGTTTCTTTGCTCACTCAGAGGCCACCAGAGGACCCTACAGCACCTGGTTCCATCACCACAAGTCATCAATCCCTGCTGTACTGCAGGACTGCGGAAAGGACAGGAGATGGAGCTTTCCAGCTGACAAAATGCCAGATGACTGGAGAGATAGTGTCTCCACTATTACAACTATGTTTGAAGCTCACTGATGTCATGTAAACGGGCTGTGAGCCTACTGGTTACAATTAAGCTGATTTTAAACACTGAGACTCAAAAACTACTATATGATATTTGAACAAGCACAGCAAGTCAAACCCTTTCTCTCTCTCTCTCTCTCTCTCTCTCTTTCTATCTTAAAGAATTAAAGGAATGACTAGCTTGTCATTTCTACCAGGACAACTGGCACCTGTACTCATTTCTCTACAACAGTGTTTCTCATTGGCATAGCTAGAGACCTCCTTGGGATATGCTATCCCATTTTCTGAAAGTCAAATAAGATGAGATAAAAAATCCAAATGAGAGACACATTAGACAGTACTTATTCCCCAGAGCATCTTCATGGCACAGATGCATGAAAAAATCAGAACAGATTCCTCATTTGCATAGAAGCTAAATAGCTATATTAAATCTTATTTTAAGAGTTTCCTTTTACCTTTGCTTCGTAACCATTAACAACTTCTGCTTTATCTGTCCTCCAGCCCCAGAATCCGGATTTAGTTCTGATAAAAAGTGAACACCACAAATTTCTACATGTACAATATGCCATTCAGATTTATCCCTGCAGCCTTTATAGCTTTATCCCCCAGCTTAACTTAGTGAAGGACACTTGGAAATTATGGTCCTATTGTCCACAAAAGGATGCTATCAATGGCAGATAGCTTAGGCGTCCCCCACCCGCCTCCCACAGCTATTAATAAATTTGCCTCACCCCACGCAGAGAAAGCCTCCATTCGGGGTTTCTTTACAAAAGCAACCAGCATAGGGGACAAAGGTGATGATATTTATTGGACAGCTGTCCAAAAGAACTGAAGATGACCAGCATCCAAGGGCTCGCCACAAGGTGCTCTCTGGGGCAGAGTACACATCTGGGTCATGTGAACTGTGGGCATGGACATCAGAAGCTCTATCTCCACAAGCAGCCATCTCTCAACCGAGGAATTCTTAGAATAAATGAGGCACAGATCATCATGTCCTCAGAAGAGCAGGAGCAGGTGGGCCAGGAACTTGACACTGTGGTGAGCTGCTTGGAGAGCCATTAAGCCTGCAGAATGGGCTGTGAGCCACACATTTGATCAGGTCTGGTGCATCGGGGGAAAGGATGTGAAAAGCCCGACTGTTGATTCCAGCTCTGTGGAGCTGCTTTAAAGTAGCTCAGCATTCTAGTGGTAGCTGCAGTGTTGGTAGTGTGCCCCAAAACCTAGTTATTCAATTCAACATACTCCTGGAAGAAAAAGTATTTAGGACTCAAGAGTAGTCAAGAGACTCCAATTATTTTCCAAAGCAGCTTGCCCCAGGAAATGCTGCCTCTCACAGGTGACTCCTGACCAGTCCTGTCCTTTGTCTAGGACATCACATCCTAGCTCCCCTTGGCCCTGGGTAGGGCTACAGCTTGCTTTCTGCTCTGACGCAGAGCGAAGTAGGATATCATGCAGGAAGATCAGGGAACAGCAGCAGGTCAGCTAGATGTGAAGAACATATGTGGTAATTTGCATTTTGTGTTTCCAGTTTGCTTTTCTTCTAATGGAATTTGGTCAATGAAATTAGTCCAGATGGGGTATAATGAGTTTATGTGTGCATTTTAGCCCACAGGAGAAGAAGGGACCAGAGCATTTGCGTTCCTACTAGCTGTCTACGATTAGTGTAACATGACCTATGGAAGGAAAGAAAGGAATCCTAAATGGATTACACCAAATGCTAGCTATCTTCCCCTTTCACTTCAGAAACAAAATAACAGTCACAGGGACTAGGGGCGAGGGCACGCACTCAACTGATTTTTAGTAAAGTATAATCCCCTTTTATCATTAATACTGGAAAATCAAGATACTCCTTTTCATTCAATCCTCATTCACTTAAGTCACTGATATCTTGGCACAGGAATTCACTGTTTTCTGGCAGTGTTTTCTGAGGGACCAAAGGAGGACTACATCTGCTCCACCTCATGCTGTGTGTGTGCTGGGAAGACGGAGCTGCACTTTTGTCCAGAGGAACCACCAAGCTCCTCACTCAGCTGCATCTGCCCTATCAATGATTCTACCTTCTGCTGCCCTTTGCATCTCCACGCTCTACCAGTAGTGTAGTTATACTCAGAATCTATATTCTGTCTTAAAACCAAGACCCTAATGACTCTGTGGCCCTTGATTGACTTTGCATGCTGAAGATTACAGAACACCCGCCTTCCCTCTTCTGCCATTTTCACCTCTGTCTGTCTCCACTGAGACTACCATACCATAGGCCACTGAGCAGACACTGTGCCTTGGCAGCTGATACATGATTTGCAGAATGACTCTGAAGGTGGCAGGGAATGTCTTGTTTGAGATGGGAAGAGCACAATCTTTGGGCGAAGAGAAAAATCCAAACCAGAAAGTATATGCTGCAGGCCAAAAATTCACCAGGGGAGGATATTAATTTGCAAAAAGTAAGAAATGGACAAGAGTGACTATTACAAAATGGGAGAGCCACGCCTTCTAAATACAACCAAATGCATCCTCATACCTCCATTTAAAAGTAGATACGTATGCTTTCTGTGCTAGCAAATCTCACATGAGTGGCTCAAATCCTTGTCTGATACATGACAAGCTCACTGATCACACATTCAATTCTGAGCACCACAGAAAAAGAAGCTGTCTTTCAGAAATTTTCTCTCAGTAACACACTGTCAGTTGCAAAAGGAAAGTCAGCTTGAGCAGTTTGAAAATCCTGTGACCATACCAATACAGAACATGCCTTAGTCCTCTGTATAAATAGAATGTGCTACCATTTCTTATCTATGCTCAGTGGGGAAACAGTCAGTTATCATCACACTCTCTTCATAAATTAGACTTAAGCAAACAATGACTCTAGCAACTCTGCTGCTGAACTACACAAGGAACAATGTCTCTTCTCAAGACACCTTGGCATCATGGACTTTGGAGACTTCACCTCCAGATTCACTCCTTTATTTCTTTCAGTTAATGAAACAGAACACTAGAGAGATGAGGCCACTTGCCCAAAGCCACACAGGTATGCAGTAGTACTGCTGATGGTGCCCAGTTCCTCCACCTCTCACCTCTATGGAGGGGCAGTGGTGGTGAGGGCAGCCTCCTCAACCTTCCAGCATCACAAACAGAGTGATAAGCTGAAGATGCCCTCCTTGTCTGTGGAGGCAATGCTGAAGCCTGGAGATGTCTTTCCAAGACCCTTCCAGATAAAGCCGCTAGGTCTTTAAACTTCCCTGTCCCTGAAAGATATTGTCAACTGGCCAGGGCCTATGTGAGGAGGCTGGCAAGAGGACTGACCCTGCCCCTCAGGGGATGCCATGTTCTTACCCAAGCAGCAGCAGCACCTGGACATCACACCCAGGTTTTTCTTCTGCTACAAACAAATACCCTAACTGCACAGCTCGATCTAAACTAGAAGAAAAGGGTATTTTAAAAGTTGTGTGTTTCACTACGCAGAAATCTTTCCCTTTTGTTACTCAATTTCATATTGAGAACAAAGAAGAAAATAAAATGAAAGAACAGTTAGTATATTCATTAAGATAAAAGAAGGCCTAAGTCCAAAATAACTGTGTTCATTTAGCTCAGGTTATGCTACTTTGATTGAGAGAACTGGATGTGATATCCTAGGCAAATACCACAAGGGCTCTTGTGGTCTCCCTCAGGCCCGTGTGCTCTCCTGGAGAAACACTCAGACAGACAGCCTTGATAGCCACTACTTCCCTTTCACTCGAAGGCCCTCCATGCCCTCTGCATGACCCAGAGGTGGATGACCAGTGACAGTGTTCTCATCTGGATTAATCAAGGCACAGACCTTTCTGAATGGAACCCCCTCCAGACACTTGCTCTAAACTATTAGATCATACAGGAAGGAAAAAGAACCGCATTTAACTGTTTAGTAAGTGGGAGTTTGACTGACTACAACCAAATTCAATACTGAGTCAATTCTAGCCTCCAGAAACTCAAAGCCATGATTTGGGACTAGGGAGGTTGTAGATCCACAAATATCAAAACAAAAATAAGATTCAAGTAAAATCCACTAGAAAGGGCCCATAAAAGAAGATGAAGACATTTCTCGAAGATTTAACCAATGTGCTTTAAAAATGATAGAGAATGATAAGCGTCAGCTGCAATTTCTATTTGGTTAGAGATCAATCTGAAAATCCACTAATGTTTATTATGTCACATTAGAAAAATCTAAGTCCATTTTATTAATACATACATGTCACTAAAGATGGCAGCACAGGGATTAGACATTAAAATTCAGTCTAAATTCATACCTTTCAAAAGCAACATTTTTAGTATCAAGGCTGGTGTTAATGACTGGGCTTGTGAGCCGTCTCTCAACTTCCCTGTTTTTTGGCTTCATCAAGTCTAGAGTGAGGCGCTCCATCTCTTGGGAAAGGTCAAAATGTTCAGTGGTGACCACTTTGTCGTCATGGTTGACTTCCGTCAGTTCTGCCCTGTTGTCTGTTAATGGAAACAAGGGCATAACTCAGCGCAAAACAAGGAAAATGCAAAAACAAGGCAGCCTCATATGTTGAAATGCATCATCTCTCACATTTTTCCTCCCAGATGCCATCTGATAAGGTGTCAAGTTTACTGATTATTGGTTGCCTTGCTGCACAGATATGGTCTGGCCAGCTTTCCAGAACACATAAGACGCTCTGAGTCATCTTCCCCAAAGAGGCAGAATTTTTAAATAATTTGCATTCTTTATCAGCAACATAGTTCATCCATGTCCTTCATAAAATACATTATTACAGAATTAATATAAACTATGTATCCACAACATGGGGTGACCAATGTCAGTCCCCACCCTCCATTAAGAGAAACATGCCTGATTATGAAGGGAATAGACAGATATACAACAGAAGGCCTGTGTTCAAAAGTTCAGGAAAGTGAGACAGACACATGTCATAAGGGTAATGGGGGGGGACTGGTAAAGGACACATAGGAGAACTAGCCAGACAAGAACTAAGAAGGGATGGAGAACTGAATAATTAATATGAATAACCAAAAAAAATACCCCAGAAAAGATCAGACAGAAAAGGCACATGAATGTGAATGCACTTTGGTAATTAAAAATTGCTCTGTAATTTAGCTTGAGCCATGATTACTACAATGGAATCACTCACCTTCTCCCTTAAATATAAAACTACGCCTCCCTCGTATCCAACTCATGTTTTCAAATCCCAGCAATGTGATATCAACACGCAGTTTGGCACCGCTTTTCCAGATGCGACAGACATCATTCGGGCATATTCTGGAAACCAAGGGCACTGGAGGAGAGAAGTGTACTATTGAAAAAAGCTCAAGGGCCAAGCAGAATGCCCAGGCCAGGAAATCAGGATTCTGACTTTAATAAGAGGATGGGAATTGGCAAGAAGGTGAGTGCAAACAGAATTGGATATCGTGGCTCCCACACTTACCACACAGAAATCACTCTTTAAAAAGTGGACCTCTGTTCCATTCATCAGAGGAAACTCTAAATACATTTCCCAAGAGTATTCTTGACCCCCAAATGAGCATCATTCATTGACCCCCACCACAGCTATGGAGGCTGTTCATCTGGTCTTTTATCTACATGTGCTATTCTGGCCGTATGTCTGCAGTCTACCATATTGTTGTATCCACCACACAGAATATCACTATTCTGTGATATCAAATGTCTAAAATATGTCACTTTTTAACAAAACCTAAACTTAGAGCAATTATCTGCATTAGAAATGAACTCTTTAACTTCTCAGAACAATCTGAAATACTCTTCTTTTACTTCATTCATGTGTTTTATTGCATGAAAGGGAAGTCCAGAAATGGAAATGGCTGAAACCCTAGGAGTTAGGAATTATCATTAATTGATCTACAAAAAATACAAGTAGAATTCTATGTAAATATACTGTCAGTCAATTGCCTTACATAATACTTTGGAGAAATACAGCCATTTTGTAGAAAACAAAATATTCCAATAGTCACCACATCTTTTTTAAAATAATAAGTTTAAAAGAATCAAGCTAAACCACATAAGGAAATGAGTAAATTATTTGTAAATCTACTTACTAAAATTTTAACAATTTAAAGTGACATTTAAAAAACAAATAATATGAATGTCAACTATAAGCAACAAAAGAAGAAAACATGAAAGCAGATATCAAAACTATCTATATACTATATTTATAGATGCAGAAGGGGGTGAATCCTCTGCATGGGGGGAAAGACTGGAAGAAAAACACCCAAAGCATTAACTAACAATAGTTGGTTTTAGCTGGGACTATGGGTGATTGCTTTTCCTTATTCTTCACTATGCATTTCCTGGGGTTTTTTTTTTAATGCATATAACTTTTATAAAGGCTACATTCGCAGGGCACAGTGGCTCATGCCTGTAATCCCAGCACTTTGGGAGGAGGAGTACCTGAGCCTAGGGGTTTGAGACTACCCTGGGCAACTTGGTGAGACCTCGTCTCTACAATAAATCAGAAAATTAGCCAACCATGGTGGCATGTGCCTGTAGTTCCAGCTACTTAGAAGACTGAGGCAGAAGGATCGCCTGACCCACCCAACAGGTTGAGGCTGTGGTGGCAATGAGCATGCCACTGCACTCCAGTCAGAGTGACCGAGTGAGACTCCAACTGAAAATAAAATTTAAAAATTTAAAAGTAAAGGCTACATTTAGGCTAAGTAAATTTGGAAACAGAAGCAAATTACAAGCCTACAGTCACTCACCCCAGCTGGTAAATTCCCATTTCATCTGCACATAGAAATCCGGAGCCTAAAGGGCAGACAAAGGTTTAAAATAGATTACCGTTGGCACTATTAATGAAACATGAACATAGTAAGGGCTAATAGAGTTCTATTTAGTTCAGGGAAAACAGAAAAAAATAAGAAAAATAAATTGTAAGCCTGTTATTTATTGTATATTCAAGCTGCTTTTTAACCTTGATATAAATTACGTCTAGACAGTTTAAAAAGTTAACAGAAAGCAACAAGATTGGAGGGGAACCAAAGCCAAACCTGATCTGGGGGTCCAATCAGGTTCTTAACAGTAACAGAAAGATGAGTCAGGGAAGGTAGCTTAAGTACTGCCAAGCAATGTGGGAAGCAGTCTATTCTAAGAAAGAGAAGGGAATGTCAATTCCATCTATCTTACAGGGAACTTGACTGTAAAGGCTCATATTTATCGACTACTCTGTGAAACTGCAAGAGGCTGCCAGACATCACTTCCCCAGAAAGTCGATTTTCCCTCCAGTTAACAGAAACCATGCCCCACTTTCCTCTTTAGCTTGTAGAATTTGGCTTTCCGAAGTTTACACAGAGCAGAACAGCCCTGTTTAAGATGATTTTCTAACCTACCGCAAATTCTTATAGAAGGTTCTTGATGATTAAGAAATCCAACTGTTATATCACAGGAGAGAAACACTAGAAATTCCAGAAGATTTCCCATTCTCTCATGGCCCCAAGGTTTTGCCATGGCTTTTATAGAAGCACAGGGCAGGAAGGTCAAGCCTTATTCTGAAATAAAACTTGTCAGGATTCCAAAGACAATCTCTGAGAGGCAGCTGATAAGAAAGGCTAGCATATGATACCATGGATAGACAAGATGTCAACAACAGCCTCTAGTGCCACGAAGTACACAGGTCATCTATGGGCTATCTCTAACTGCAAGCAGAGAATACTATTCAATGTAGTCCATTGCTGTGTACCAATATGGGTAAAAAAAGAAAATCCTTTACACTGAATTTTTTAAATGAAAGGCGGCCCCATGTTAAATAAGTCATTTTGTGCTTTATGTAATGAGCACATGAAGTTTTTAGTTCCTCCTGCAGTAAATTAAATAAGAAAATGATACGTCCATGTGACTGCTATATACTCATAAAAACACATTTACAATGAATACAACTATTTTATATTTCATGGGAGACTTCATTGTAATATTGGGAAATGGCTACCTTAAGCAATATTTAGCTTAAGTGCTGTTGAAATCTTTTTTAAAGACTGCTCAGGAAGGCCAGGATGGGTGTCTCAGCCTGTAATCCCAGCACTTTGGGAGGCCGAGACGAGAGGACTGCCTGAGCCCCCGGGTTCAAGACCAGCCTGGGCAACATGGTGAGCCCTCGTCTCTACAATAAAATTTAAAAAACTAGCCAGGTGTGGTAGCACTCCTATAGTTCCAGCTCCTTGGAAGGCTGAGGCGGAAGGATTGGTGGAGCCCAGCAGGTTGACGCTGGGGTGGCTGTGAGCGTGCCACTGCACTCCAGCCTGGGCAACTGAGTGAGATTCCAACTCAAAAAACAACAACAAAAAAAGACTGCTCAGGTAATGAACAAAATCGTCTTATTTATAAAGTTGTTCCTTTTCTCAATAGAGCTATTTAAATTTTTTCAACCAAATACATTAAGTCAACAAATTAAAATTCTCAAAATACTAATAGCTAGAATCGACATGGTTAACAAGAAGATGTTGCACACAGACCCCTGAGCCTCAACAGGCCCTAAAAAATCCCTGTCTGGTAACTGATACTTAAAGATGCAGGATGTTCCTTTTAAGAAAGCAGGCATCTGGACAAATTGTTTGATGTCCATTTTCCTTAAGATGTAATTTTTAAACAGCATTTAAAAGGTAAGCCTAGTGACCTAGAAACATAATTTGTGAAAGACCCATACTTCATCAAGTTGGAAAGTCAAGGCATAGTGCTAGTTAGTACTCAACTATCTCGTACTCACTATTCATAAAACTCTTTAGGGAGGCATACCGGATGTCAAACTGTATCTCCAGTCATTATACCAGCATTCAGCTCAAATCATGACACAGCCACATTTTTACAGATACCTCGAGAATTTTTTGTAGCAGCTCAGGAACCCCCTCAAGGGCCATGGACGTGTTGTGGTAGTCTCGATGCTGAAGAACTGTGTACACCATCTCAGGATCGCCAGTGCTTACAGCCTCATGTAAAACTGAAAAACAACGGGCGATTTTGGTCACCAAGTAGTCTATACTTTCTGAACAATTCCAAAGCCAGTTTAAGCAAGTATTTATATCACTCAAAGAGCAATCTTTTCTTCAAAGAGGGAGAGAGGCTGAAGCCCAACCTTGTTGTTTATGATCATGACTTCTGATTGCCACTCTTAACTGAATAAAAAAAGAAACAGAGCACTCTTAGCATCTTGATCAAACCTCCCCACCCCTCAACACCCCTATTCTTACTACTGGTTCTGAAATCCTGATTTTTAACTGTACAATCATATAACTGTGGTTACATGTCAACCTGGTAGACAGGGCTTTGCTTATGAATATCCTTGTTCTGTCAACACAGAATTACTCTGTCCAATAGTAAGAGAGCTTGCAAAAAAGTGAGATGCCAGGATTTCACTGAAAGAAGCTACTTTTAGTCATAAATTCTTTCTGATTTTTTGCCTATCCTGATGGATCCACCAGAGTTGCCACCATATTCCTCAAGAGAAAACCAGCCTCCATGCTCAAGGATGGTGGAAGAAGTTTGCACCAGGAGCTGTTTCTGGAGGAGGAGTCGCTCTCTACTGAGGGCTTCTGGCCCAGAACACAATTCAGGTCACTGTGTTGCAGATCAGCCAACATCATCCCTGGGTCTTATTTCCTCGTCCCAGCCCCTAGACCCAAGAGAGGAAGAGACTTAAAGAAAGAGATGATTCTGAGGAAAATTATGACTGAGGCTGGCCTTTATTCAGAAAGATAAAGCAGGCAACCCCTTCGGGTCCCCTCTCACTGTGGGAGCTTTTCTGTCCTCTCAATAAATCCTGCTTTCTCCAAAAAAAGAAATAAAGATAAAGAAAAATGAATGATGTAGTTAAATTATTTTAAAAGCACACTTGCCTGTCCATCCCTGGAGATTTTCTTTTGTCACATCTGCTTTATGTCGGAGCAAGACTCGAGCAGATTCCAAATGTCCCAAAGAAACAGCCAGATGCAATAACGTTCGGCCTCGTGGATCCAGGGCCTCCACATTCTGTGAAATAAACACTGGCATTTATATAATTGGATATGTGTTTGAGAGATATATTAAATAAAAAAACAAAAAACAAGGCCAGGCACAGTAGCTCACAACCATAATCCCAGCACTTTGGGAGGCCAAGGCGAGAGGACTGCGTGAGCCCAGGAGTTCAAGACTAGCCTAGGCAACATAGAGAGATCTCTTTCTACGAAAAGTAAAAAACTTAGCTGGGTGTGGAGGCATGCACCTGTTGTTCCAGCTATGTGGGAGGCTGAGGCAGGAGGATCACTAGAGCCCAGGAGGTTTAGCCTTCGGCCAGTTGTGATCATGCCACTGCACTCCAGCCCGGGCAACAGAGTGAGACCCTGACCCATTAAAAAAAAAAAAAGAGGCCGAGCTCGGTGGCTCTGCCTATAATCCCAGCATTTTGAGAGGCCAAGTCAAGTGGATTGCCTCAGCCCAAGCAACTTAGTGAGACCTCGTCTCTACAATAAATCAAAAACTAGCCAGGTGTAGTAGCACGCCTGTAGTTCCAGCTACTTGGAAGGCTGAGGCAGAAGGACTGCCGGAGACCAGCAGGTCGACACTGGGGTGCTGCACTCCAGCCCTGGGCAACAGAGTGAGACAAGAAAGAGAAAGAAAACAAGAAAGCAAGCAAACAAGAAAGAAGACAGTATTTATACATTAATTACAGCAACATATATGAAAAGGTATATTTGCATTGGGGCACCGTTGAAATATGAATTTGGGGACCATATATAAAGATAATTATTGAGTTCTTTTTTCTATAAAGTTGAGTGCCTAATAAATAATTTTTGACAGTAGGCCCCAGATCATCAACTTTAAGCTCTCAATAGTATTCAAATTAAGTCTCAACAAGGTCAGGAGCCTTCATGAAACGCAAACACCCTGTAAAACAGAACATGGAGGATTTTTCAAGTACATATCAGCGTTCAAGTCTGGCACAAGAAGGGCAGGAGTTTAACCAAAACTGAAAGTACAGAAGACAATTTGGGTCAGAATAAAACTACATTCTCTAGCTGGATTCCCAAAAAACACCAGTCTCATCGTAGTGTACTGGGTTCCAAGTGCCCGGATATAGCACATAAAACCCAGCAGCAGCTGCTGGTCTTCCAGTCAAGGAGCATCAACTGCCAGGCGTGCATGTAGATATGTTTATGAAGAAAACACGTGAACACGTGCGTCACGTTAGTCCATCCCCTTGAAGATTTTCTTCCTTTTGCTAGATGTGCACACGGTTTATCTCTTCATTCCTGTCCTGTCCCTCTGGCCCTCCTCTCAGCACCTTGCTGGGTCTACAGAGCCATGCAGTACATTCTCTGGCTTGAGCTAAATCTCAGCACCTGGGCACTGCCTTCAAAGCATGGCTCTGAAAGTTCTTCCAAAGACAGAACAAACTCCCATGCAACTTTTGAAATACAAAAACATTTTTAAAGCCATACTTCTTATAAGATATGCTTTATCCTAAAAAATGTGGTACATATACACAATGGAATATTATACAACCATAAAGAAGGACACACGTGGACTTTGCAGCAACTTGGATGGATTTAGCATCAATCATACTCAGTGATCTATCATAGAAACAAAGAACAGAGTACCACATGTTCTCACTCATACACGGACCTTGAACAATTATCATAATTCTATAAGAAAGGGATTGGCAGTAGTGGGAAACTGCCGAGGAGGGGGAGTGGGACTGGCAGTTGAGGGAAACTGCCAGGGAAAGAAGGGGCACACCTCATCAACAAGGATACCTGCACAATCAACGTTTGTAGACCTATTACTGAATTGAACCCCACATGCTTATAATAAAAAAGAAAGAAAATGTGCTTTATCCTGATTTGAGATGTCAGGTATTGCCCAGGCACTACCTGCTGTCTCTGAAGACACACAGAGCATGCCACTTAGGAAGGTAAAGCCAGGTTGTGGGTAAACAACTGCAGTCCAGCAGCTATCAAATCTCGTTTTGCTAAGAGTAGGGCATGGCTGTGATACTGGAGATAAGAAACTGTTATTGATGAGTAATAGAAGTGGTGAAGGCACCTGGCTAGCTGAACACGAGTGCTCCTGGACCAATTCCAGGCCTCTGTGTTCCTCCGGATACCAAAATACCATTATATTTCCTGGCACATGGGCTACATCACCTCCTATGATTCCCTGACTTTTTCCCAAGTGTATGACTTGTCCATCACACCAAAGAGATGGAGAATTCCAAAGAGGAGGGCCCAAGACTTATATTTCCTAGCTTCTGCCACCCTAGTATCTAACTTGCTTTAAGTCTTTGTTTTCTTAAAGGTAACAAGGCTATGAACTTATGAACTATGAATTTAGCTGAAGTTTAGCAGGAAAGAAATAATTAGCAAACTAATTATCTTCCTACATGTCTATTATATAAACCAAGTATTTTCTTACAGAACGAACTCAATTTAAATGAAAGTGCTAAGTTTAGCAAACTGCCTGCCACATAGGAGGTGCTGAACAGTATGTATTACGTGAAAGGGGAAATTCTACTTATTACAATTCATACCCCAGAACAAAACTAACATCTCAGACTAAGGACTGACATTCAAGCTCCTGGGAAACCATTAGATATTGGGTACAAAATAAAAGCCAAAAACACTTGAGTTGTTAACTTTTTTCTGTTTTGAACCACAGGGGAAAAGGTATGGATAAGTCATAGAGTAGTGCACTTTTCACAGCTAATTATAACTCTTCAGAGCTTCCTGTGCCTCTTTCTCACTTGAGGGAGGGGGCAGAGGAAGGGGGGGAATCTCGTAATATATTATAGTGACAGTGTGATTTTAAAATAATGCATGAATAAAGATCAGAGGGAAAATGAGTGAAATAGAGAATAGAAAACAACAGAGAAAAATCAACAAAACCAAAAGTGGGTTCTTGGAAAATGCCAACAAAATTGACAAACATTTAGCTAGAATGACTGGGGGGGGGGATAAAAAAGATGACACAAGTTACTAAAATCTGGAATGAAAAAAAGAGAGAAGACTTAAGTTACTAAAATCTAGAATGAAAGATGGGATATTATTAACAACTCTACAGAAATAAAGAGGATTATTAAAAAGACTAAGAACAATGGTATGCCAACAAATTAGACAACTGAGATGAAAAAGACAAATTCTTAGAGAAACAATCGAGCAAAACTGACTCAAGAAATAGAAAATCTGAATAAATTTAAAACAAGTAAAAAGATAGAAGCAATAATTTTTAAATCCCCCACCCAAAACAACAGACTGATTAATTCTATCAAACATTTATTATTTTCATTTTTATTTTTATTTTTTTTGAGTTGGAGTCTCACTCTGACACCCAGACTGGAGTGCAGTGGCCGCTCCCGGCCACCGCAGCCTCTACCTGCTGGGCTCCGGCGATCTTTCCGCCTCAGCCTTCCAAGTAGCTGGAACTACAGGAGTGTGCTACCACGCCCGGCTGATTTTTTGATTTATTGTAGAGATGAGGTCTCACCAAGTTGCCCAGGCGGGTCTTGAACCCGCGGGCTCAGGCAATCCACTCACCTCAGCCTCCCAAAGCAGTGGGATTACAGGCTGAGCCACCAAGCCTGGCTTCTATCAAACATTTAAAGAAGAATTAATACCAACTTTTCACAAACTCTTCCAAGAAACAGAAGGAAATTTTTTCAACTCATTGGATGAGCCCACTATTATACTGATGTCAAATGCATCAAAGGACTATTATCTCTTATGAATACAGATGCAAAAACTCCTCAACAATATATTAGCAAACTAAATTCAGCAATGTATAAGAAGGGTTATTATACACTATGACCAAGTGAGATTTATCCTACAAATGCAAGAGTGGTTTAACATCTGATAATCAATAAGCTTAACACCATATCAACAGGTTAAAAAAAACACAGGTCAGGCATGGTGATTCAGCCTGTAATTCCAGCACTTTGGGAGGCCAAGGCAAGAGGATTGCCTGAGCCTGGGGGTTCGAACCAGGCTGGGCAACTTGGTGAGACGTCATCTCTACAATAAATCACAAAAACTAGCCAGGCATGGTGGCGTGCATCTGTAGTTCCAGCTACTTGGAAGGCTGAGGCGGAAGGATCGCCTGAGCCCAGCAGGTTGAGGCTGCAGTGGCCGTGACAAAAGTGAGACTACAATTCAAAAAAAAAAACCACAAACACAGTCATCTCAACAGATAAAATTTATTGTATTTCTATATACTTGCAAAGAACAACTCAAAAATGAATTTAAGAAAACAATTCCATTTATAATAGCATCAAAAAGAATAAAACACGGCTAGGTGCAGCAGCTCACATCTACATTCCCAGCATTTTGGGAGGCCAAGGCTGGAGGATCGCTTGAACCCAAGAATTGGAGACCAGCCTGGGCAACATAGTGAGACCTTGTCTCCACAAAAAATAAAAAACTTAGCTAGGCATGGTGGTGCATGCCTGTAGTCCAAGCTACTCCAGAGGCTGAGGCGGCCTGATCCCCAGGAAATAGAGGCTGCGGGTGAGTCACGATGATGACAGTGCACTACAACCTAGAGGGCAGAGCGAGACCCCACCTCAAAACACGAAGCAGCAACAAAAAGTAAAACTGGCCCTGGAAGTGAAGCGCGGAGGAGGCAGCCTCCTTGCAGGTCTGGACTGGCGAGAGCCCAGACGGCGGCAGGAAACTGCTCTCCCAGTGTCTGCTGAGTTTGTATGTGTGTGGGATGGGGCCCCGTGGCTTCCCCCATCAGTGTGTGATGCCCAAAGTGGAGTGGGCAGCATTCCTGGAGGCAGCGGGCATTTTGCACCTGCTCGAGGTGCCCAAGGGGGTCAGTTCAGAGGGATGAGCAGGAGGAGGAGTTTTGGAGGAAGATGCACCGACCATGTGCTGCTGGAGTGGACACGTTCGAGGGCATGCTGCAGTGCCTGGAGGCCGGATGTTTTTCCCATCTAACGGAGATCCCCAGCATGCTGCTGACGGATGAGGAAACAGAGCTGATCCTGCCAGGCACCG